CACCCGCAGATAAGCCGCACCCGCAGATAAGCCGCACCCGCGGATAAGCCCCACCCGCAGATAAGCCGCACCCGCGGATAAGCCCCACCCGCAGATAAGCCGCACCCGCGGATAAGCCCCACCCGCAGATAAGCCGCACCCGCAGATAAGCCGCACCCGCGGATAAGCCCCACCCGCAGATAAGCCGTACCGCGAATCTAGAAGCTTATTTTTTGGAAAAAAATAGTTTTTTTGATATGAATCAAAAGAAATCTAAAGTCGAGTCTTGAGAAGTCTTCTTCGTCCACTGTTCATCGAACGTAAACTCATCATTAACATTGCAACGGAAAATACTTCAGTGTTACCCATAATTTTAGCACTTTGATAGAATGAATATCGTTTCTACCAACTTTTGTCTTCTTCTGTTATTTCTTGCCAGGAATTTCTTCATTCAACACGGTTTATCCATAGATTTTTGCATTACAACAAGGAAATGAGCCGAATAGCCGAAGCCTAGTAACCAGGCATTAGATCGGACGCGAAAATGGACATTGACAACACCTTTTTCAAATGTTCCCGCAGATAAGCCGTACCCCCAATTTCTAGCGACGAATTTTGGAAAAAAATTTCGGCATATCCGCCAGGCTTCTTCGGTAATTGATCACCAACAACAAGGGCTCTTGATTGTTAAACAAATTCTCCCTGTCAGCACCCTGGAAATGTATGGTGAAGAGTATGGAGAATATACATACTGATGTTAGGGTGGAAAAGGTTAATCTTTGAGTCAGCCAAGTAAGTTAATGTAGGTCCAAGCAAAGTCAATAGACAACAGTACAAACCACTCCCGAGTCATTCAAGAGCAAGCCCTAACAACGGGAAGGATAAACCACTTTAGGGCGTAAATTAGACAGAGCTGAATAACGTATGCGTGCGCGCTTAGTTTTAGCGCGGAAACACGGATTTTGAGTCGTTCGCATGGTTGACTTTCTACTCTCTCGCCTCGAGGCGTTGTTTTCCTCGCCGCTTTTCTTTTTAGGCAGAACAATTTCCAAAAACTTTGTACACCTAAATATTTTCGAAAAATAATTGTCTCTTTAAAAACTTTGGAAATAGGAAAATGCCTTGGGCGAAAACAAAATGCCTCGGTTTTAAATGCCAGCTCTCTATTATTTTCGCAAATTTCGCTAAATTTTTAACCGCACGCTTGAGCCCGCGTTGTTGACTGCATACCTTTGACGTTATTCCGTAAACATGTCTCACCTTGCCAGGACCTGAGCACGAGACTCTCTCGAGGTAGTCTGATAAATCGACACAGACAAAATACTAAAAATTTGAAAACTCCCTGTGAGGCTAAATCCCGAATATTTTGGGATTTGAAATTCAAAGCGTACCAAAACACTAAGAAGAAATGTATTTTACTGCAATTAAACAACTGAATACTTCACAGCATTGTAAAATTTCGAAAGAAAAAGATCACAGAATAAGAGAAATAACAAAAAGTGATTGCATAGTATGGGTGGTAATGGAGTTGGCTCACCTATCAGCCGCTGTTCAAGAAATGAGGAAGAAAAAAAACAACAAAATACCCAACTTATTGCTTTCATTGTTTTCTCCCTTAATCCTTAATTTGTTGTTATAGAAATAGAGGGACTCTATTTCTTTTATATTTTCGTGCTAAAAAGCTTTCAAGCCGTCTCTCGATGAATGTCAGCATCTTAGAACTACGCACCCACCCCTCTCCTAACCCCACACTAACCGTTAACAGTTGATTGTCCTTGGGTTTTGGGAGGGGTGAGTGCGCAGCTCCTCAGATACTGACATCGACCCTTTTAAAACATTTGTAACTGCAAGATAGTTCATTTTTACCTCCACAAATAGTCTGTAAGCTGAACAATCAGTCCCATATGAAGACTAATTGCCAGTTTGAAAGATATTTAAACCACTGCCTAACGCGTTAAATCCATCCGTTGGTAGAAAAGGTTGTTTTGATGATTAAGTTGATTTTTTTTCCTATTTTCGTGCCAAAAAGCTTTCAAGCCATCTCTAGAGGCACAATACTGGCAATTACCGAGAGTATTATTATATCAGTCTCTAACCAGCAAGTCCAATTCTACTGTAGGAGGAGGCATATAAAACAGGCAGAAGCCACAAAAAACTCGAAAATCATATCAGATACCAAATTTGAAAACCCGTTTGATAGTATTATTGACAAAAACCGGAAACCCGCAAATCACAGTGAACACCAAAATAGAAAAACCAAAGTTTTTTTGGCACAAAGATAGTATTATTGACAAAAACCGGAAACCCGCAAATCACAGTGAACACCAAAATAGAAAAACCGAAGTTTTTTTGGCACAAAAACCGATTTTTAACCTCATCGATTGTGCTAGTAAAAGTGGCATATTGTGCTACTAGCAGTGCCCGATTTTTTTCCAAATCATGCTCAAAGTTATACTCGATTTTGAAAATTATGCTACTTTTTCTTAATGTATGCTTAAAAATAAAACACACACACTGCTATTCCAAAAACCAAAATTATATATTCAGTATTGTTAATAAAGCATCATGTTTTCTTTATCTTGAGTTACACACTTAGCTTGCTGTCTTGATGACTCGGCTTCTCTCGACTAAGTGCCTCGGTAATGGTTTGTTCTCTCAACTTCGACTTCTTGATCTTTTCTTTCCCACTGGCGTGTTTTTTTAAATCACAATGGGATGACAAAATGCTTTTTTTTTTTTATGAAACAACTTCTCTGCAAGCACTGCAAAATATCATGTTGTCTCTAACACTTAGATGCTGACCTGGAAACTGATTGATACGATCATGTAATGGGACTTTTTCCTCGTCAGAAGTCCCCCTGGTCTTGTATTTACTGTTGGTTTTCTTCAGGCTCCGATCTCTAGCAATTTGAGGGGGTTTTGGCCTATCAGGAAGCGATTCTCCTTCTAAGTTGCTCGACGCCATTTTGTTGCCTATGAAAGTGGGAACTGAAACCAACGCAATCTTTACTTCCCGTGTGCTTAGTCCACTGGACGACCAACGACGCAGTATTGCGGTAACTTTCATCCCCTCCCCAGACGAATGAAAATAGACTGAGCTATGGACAGAACTTGAAGATAACCAATCTGAGAGACCAAGCAAGTCATGGTTCTGGTAAGGTTCCCTTCAACAAACTAAAAACCGCCTCCCGGTTAGCTCACCGATTGAGCTAAGCGCCTCCCGGTTAGCTGACCGATTGAGCTAAGCGCCTCCCGGTTAGCTCAATGGATAGAGCGCTGGACTGTTGTGCGGGAGGTCGAGGGTTCGAGCCCCGGCCGGACCAATACTCATGGTCTTAAAATAACTGAGAAGAATGTGCTACGTACCTTTCTATATATCAAAGAAATGGATAGACATTCTAGTCTTCTCGGATAAGGACGAATAAACCGTAGGCCCCGTCTCCTACATCTTTAATTAGATAATTTAATTAGGCAGGGGACGTTAAAGAACGCACATGACGAGATTACTGTGATGTGGTCTGGCCTGGTTACTGGAAATTGGGGAGAGGGGGCATCTATCAAAATTCGTCTTTATTGATTGTGAACTGCCACTCTGGTAAAGTCCCCCGCACAGTGTTGTAAAGCGCATTTGATCATATACGCATGTTAATTTGCGCTATATATAACTGTTAATTCATTCAATCCGCTCAACCCTCACTGTAGGAATTATGGGGCTGCTAATAGTTGAGCATTACACTTTTCAGGCCACATCCTAATTTCGAATGCTTCAATTTCCAAAGAAAACGTATACAGCACTAAAAATTACACACAGACTATTTTTCTCTCATCTTTTGTTTGATTTGCTGTTCTTTCCCTAAACAAGGTATTAAAAACCATGAACAACTTTTATAGAGGCAAAATTTTTAATATAGAAACGGATGTATGATATTCAGGCGCTCATGAAAGGCAATATTACGACAGAAACAGACAATGAACCACAACGGGTCAACGCTGTTTCCAATAACACAATTATAAGGGTTTCCTTGACCGAGACCTCCTCCGTCATTACATTGCCTGGCAACATTATTTATTGTTTCCTTGTCTGTTTCCGAGTGTTACCCATGCAATTTTTATTTTCACACTTGAAATGACTGCTGCCAAATATTATATATTTCTTTGAAACTCCGCAGTTCCAGATTGATTTTTTTTTTACAGTGAAACGACCAGACAGTGCCGGTAATTGTGAAACTAACCCTGTATGCTCATGAAATTCTAAAAAAAAAAACCAAAAAACAAAAAAAACAAAAAAAAAAATCAAAACACTCTTCCCATCTTTAAATACATCATCTCGTGACCCTAACACCCTGGCGTGGCCGCGATTTTTCCCTTCATATAAAAGACAGCAATGTTTGTCCTGTTAGCACTTATCGCGGTCGCATTGAATATGACCTCATTAGCGAAATGCCGATTAAACAAATCGCCATCTTTGTGAGGAAGCATTAAATAATCGAATTGTAAAGAGTTCTTGTTAAGCCTGTTTGATTACAATAACAGACTTCATATAATTTCAAAGCTTAACTAAATCAATTATGACAAATTTGAACCTAAAATGCCAATACAGCAGTAACCCTGATGATGTACTTCTCAATCAACCACAAATTTCAGTTTAATTTGTAAGAATGATTATAAAAAATGTTGAAGGCGTGACATAAGATCGCTTACTTTCCTCTTAAATGATTATACATTCGAGAAGAAGAAATTCTATTTCATTTCATCCTAGCTTTCGTCCGTTTTCTCATTTTCACACTCTTTGTTGATATGTTGAGGACTTTCATCTTCATCGTCTGTTTTAGACCTTGACCCTTGATTCGCATCCTTTTGACTGCTTGTTGCGCTATCTTCTTTACCTTGAGCGGGTTTACTTTGACTGTTCTTTTCATGAAGTAGTTTCTCTGTATCCACGTTGTTCTCTTCCTGATAAGTATTATCTTGAGTAGTTTCTTCGCTGCCTTCATTTCGTTGCCAAGACTCGGCCACAACTTGTTCTTCCGTGCTTTGTACGTTTCCCACCCCATCCTGTGGCGTAGAATCATTTTCATTTTGTTGGTCTTTCTGTTGAAAGGTCTCGTCGTTCAAGATAACCTTTGAATCAATTTCCTTCATTGATAGATCACTACTGCCCGCCTGTTTCGTGTTGTCGCTGGCTAGAAGATCAACATTTTGATTCCCTTTAACATCAGTTTCTTTTTCGTCTCTTTCCGTACCATCCAACATTTCTCTCTCCACAGAGTATCCTGTTTTGGTTTCCTGGACTTCCACCTCTGAACCTTTTCTCTCATTTGAAGCAGTTTCCTCTTTCACCTCCCCTAGGCCACTCTCTGCAGACTCCTCGACACCGTCCTCTGCACAAGTCTTCGTCTCACAATTGTCTTCGTTTGGAGAGGCTGCAATCGTTCCTGAGCGATCTTCATCAGCCACTGGCGATTTACTAACGTCCTGAATTTCATTAACAGTGTTGACAACATTAGAATTTGATTGAGAAGAATCTTGATCAGCATTTTGTTCCTCATTGTTGTCGATCACTGTTGAAAGATTTGTATTACCAGACAAAGCTTCTAAACTTGACGCTTTGGTATCATCAGCGTTGATGGATGCACTTGTCGATTTAGAAACTTCTTGTGGTTGATATTTTTCCTCAGATCTTTCACTCAATTCAAAGCGATCTCCATCATCCACAGAATCTTTAGAAGTGTTCATACTACCTTTGGCAGCGCTTTGTGACTCGGAATTATCGTTCACATTTGGAAAGGCCGCATCTTGACTTCCATCTTGTGCTCTAAAACTTTCACTATCGCACTTCCTGTCATCAACCTCTCTTGGCTCAAGGCCTGGTGTACTTTTCACCCCACTTGTTTCTTCACTGTCGTCGTCAGAGCTGTCGTCGTCAGAGCTGTCCTCGTCAGAGATTTCTCCCAGAAAACTGACTTCTTCAGGTTTCCGCTGACCACCGGCATCTGGTGACGTCATGGACTGCGCAACATTAACGTCACCTAGGTTGGAGGGTGATGCGATCTTTTTTTTCTTGAATTCAATCGCAGTTTTCTCTGCAAAGAGATCACAAAATGTTAAGGGATGATAAAACACTAAAAGCGGCTAAGCGGCTAAGCGACCAGAAGAACCAGCCGTTCGATCGAACGAATTGTTGTATCTGTGGCTGGAGTTCATTGATAACTTTTTTGTTGAGGAACAACATGGTAATCAGATGCATTTTAATTCAACGTAATAAAAACACAGTATAGCGATCATGACTGCCAATCAGAATTAAGCAAAATATCAGAAAAAAGGTAAAGAAAACTTCAAGTAAACTACCTTAAGCGCGAGAAAACGCGATTATCCAAGTCAAGTCGGTTTTAGTTTTCCATCTCATTAGTAGCACGATTTTCATAAACCGACAAGAGAGGACCACATCGAGCAACCGTTAAACAGATTCCTTCTCTACCAAGAACCAATCAGGTTTTTCTGAAAGGTGCGCACTAAGCTGTGCGCTACGATAACTCATCAGGTGAAAGACATTTGTCACGGTTCCTACACCCTTCAAGTTAAAACCAAAAGGTCAAGAGAACGAGATAAATAGTAAACCAGGTTCTCAACAAAATATCGTAACCAGCTCTTTTTACCCTTCCCTCCCCCCCCCCCCCAAAAAAAAAATAGATAAATAAATAAATAAGAAAAGACGGGAACTCCCTTCGGCTATGCAACAGATATGACAAAACTACACGGAGACATAGGACTAGAGGCTTAACCTTACCTAACTGGATAAACTGGCTTGCGTAAAACAGAATGGCTCGATAACAGAATTCATACTGCTCCTGAAAGAGATACCAGAACATTAATTACATTGGTAAAAATAAGACGACACAATTCTTGACCAGAAATTAAGGCATTTTAGGAAAAATGACGTATTGTAATTGATCACGATACCTTTTTCTGAACAGTAAACTTGCGATGTTTCCTGAAGTTTCTGACAAGTTTAGGAATATTCACTGAAAAGTAAAACAAGATCACGTTAACAAGAAAGTGGCGGGGAAGGCAATGCAATGTGATAACTTGGGTTTATTCAAGTGCCAACTTAAATCATTATTTTTAAGCGTCTTTTTAATGTTTTCGATGGGGACAACGTTCATTCATTTTTGCTGGATGGATCGAGAGAGTTGCAAAGAAGCGGTTGTTACAACTGTTGGTTGTCACTTTTAACGAGTATGGGCTTACCAATGAGTCCAGTGCCGTTCAGTTCACAGATTGCGGTGTAAAGAACAGAGAACGTTCCCGCACGGCCCACACCAGCGCTGAGAATAGGACAACACACATTTTTTACAACGCGTTAATGAGTTTGAATGGCATGCTGAATTAACCACTTTTTAAGAAAAATTACCTTTGAACAGATGGAATTTTCAAAAATGCCATCACAAGATCCAAAATAGAGGCACTCTGAAGACTCCAAATTAGAAATAGAGGGTATATTGATTGGAAGTTTCCTATAAGATTTCTAACAAAACTCAAACATCACCATTATAAGTTCTAACTGGCTTCTTGCATACACCACTTTCATAAATGGCTGCTGGATTGATATTCTTTTGTTTAAATTCAAATTAGCCTCACTAGCCTGCTTGAGATAATGTATTCTTTTGAATTTTGAACTGGGGAAGAAGGCCAGAAAGGCTAATTTAAATTTAAACAAAAGAATATCAATCCGGCAGCCATTTATGAAAGTGGTCAATAGCGGCTTTTTTTCCCAACATTTCATCGAAATTTGCTCAAAAACAAAATTCTCCTGTTTCTCACTGTAACAAAGAGATTGCCTTCATACCCGAAGGGCTCTTCCAAGAATATCACAACCAAGCTCACCTGCAATGCACCAAAAGCGGCCTCTCAGTGTTAGGGTCCTTCTCCTGGTATTGATTATGGACTTCCGACAAAAAGGTCAACAGATCGGATGGTGAATGAGGAACTCCGCTGAAACGAAAGGACACGTAAACGCTGAGTTACAAGAGAAAGGTCGGGTGGGGTGGTTAGTTGTTCTTAATTCGTTTACGCAGCTAGAAATTTACCAATTTTCTAACTTTATTTCAACACGAGGCGCTCTTGTCAGCGCTGATCCTTTCAGTATGCAGAACTCTTGTCACAAGTGAATCGAGTGCATGGCGAGGCTTATCAAGGAAATCTCTGCAAGTCAATTGGTTGAGTATCCAACCCATAAGTGCAAATACCTGAGATTCGATTCTAAACGGGGAAATAGGATCTTTCTCTTTGTTACAAGCTCGTGACTCGTAACTTAGTCTCACATTCGGTGATCGAACTCATTGTATTATTGATAGCAAAGGAAAATGTTGTTAATGGAAACGTCATCTGTTCGTATGATCTTCAATATATCCTAAGTAAAAACCAATCAAAATGCGTAAATTATTCAGCTACTCATCGTTAAATTTACATGAGTTGATTATTATCTCTATCATTATCCCTTTCATAATTTTTTTGGTTTTTAGCGTGTTACTTACTGATCAGGCCAACCAACAAACTGCAAATGAGACACAACCAGTAGTTCATCGCTCTAAAAGAAGAGAAAAAAAATTGATTAAAATACCACATCCACACAACACTTTACCATATATAGAACGAGAAAATGTCGGCATAACGAAAAATTTAACGAATTTTGGCCATTTTTTCACTCTTCTTTACAACAACGGGCTACAACAAGACCTGTCTACCTGAACTGTCTACCTGAACTTAAATACGACAGTCAAGTAGAAAATAGTGTCGATGTGTAAAATATACTTGGCTTTACTATAAACATTCACCTCAGCATGTTGAACGTGCATAATCCGCTCTATCCAGGCCTGGCAGTGATTTAGGCTCCTCATATGCACTCTAATCGCTCCATACACCACTGTGTGACCCTCATCTATTGGCCAGTACTGATGGCACTTCAGCTACAACACAACACACCTCATATCAACAATGTCCCTCTATACACTCGTATAATCCTCTACAAGTAAACGCAAACTGTGCCACCTCAATCAGACGCAAGCTCTTTTGATTACTGAGCTCCACTTCACTTTTCAAAGTTTTAGAAGCACGAACTCCGGCAACAAATAACCACCACGTAATCGGGTTTTGTTGGTTAGAAAACGCCATTACACAATAGCAATGCAAGCCAAGACTTCTGATAAACTTCATTCTTAAGACGTCCTCCGCCCCCCAACCATAACAACAGTTACGAATTTAACCCCTAACATCTGAAATTTCAGAATTTTTCAGTTCTCTTACCTGAAATATGGAAAAAATTTTAAGTATGATAAAAAATTTCATCCAGCCCATTTACCTGGGTTGCCTTGCTAATTCATTGACAGACCAATAAAAGCGGATCGATTTTCATTTATTTATTTATTTTAAGAACTTACCCGGTTTCCTTCCACCTCTTTTGTGAGCATGACAATAACTGGGGATTTCTGTTCCCAGACCATCAGCCAGAAGTCTCCCAAGGTGGCAGCAATAGGGCCCTGGGTTAGAATATAATCTGGAGACAGTGGCGTCACTTTCTGCAGACACAGGAAAATGCATTATGTCAGTACACAACAAAAAACAAGTATGCAAGTTTTCACTTTACAAACACCATAGCCGTCTAGTCTCTACATTAAATTTCATGTACCTTACAGAAATAAGTTTTGTTGGACGCAAAATAACTCCTTATTTATGGTTATAAAAGTGCAAAGGAAGCTTAAAAGGCAAACCTATGCTGCTTTGCAATTTTTAAGTTGAACGAGGCATGTATCGCAACTTTTTGTAGAAACTACAGTCACAAGAACTTAAATTGAGTTACTTTTGCAGGACTGGCAATTTGGTGCCAAGTTCCTTACAGTTTTCCTAATCCCCAAAATTGTTGACATCAAGCAAAACGAAATTTTGATGATAATAATAATAATAGGGTTAAAGAGGAGTTTCGGCCCAAAATTTTCGGCCTCTTATTATATCTGGAGAGTAATAGACCACTTTCATAAATGGCTGCCGGATTAATATTCTTTTGTTTAAATTTAAATTAGCCCTACTGGCCTCGTTCTCCAGTACAAAATTCAAAAGAATACATTATCTCAAGCGAGGCCAGAAGGGCTAATTTAAATTTGAACAAAAGAATATTTATACGGCAGCCATTTATGAAAGTGGTCAATAAAGTGATGATTAAAATAAGAATACATGTGATAATATTTTATTGAGGTGGAAAAATACGAAAGGAAGAAGGATGTTGGGAATAGTGATTATCTAATCAAAAAAATAAGATTTCATATGAAGAACGTGAAAAAATTAGCGTTAATATTTCAAACTACATGAGCTGTGACGCAGCTCGAGTGTCGGCCGCTACTGTGTACCTTGATAGCATTAGCATTGATGTAGTCTCCTCCTTCCTTAGTACCCAGTGTTACTCTTGTGTGGTCCCCTGTACAATACGGGAAAAATAATACGTTCCTCGAAATAAGCAGATTAGAGGGCCAACATCGCTCCTACAGTTGACACTCTTATTCATTATCAGACGTTTAGCGAAGAGTTTATTTAACGATAATTCTGAACACTAGCCAAATGGCACGCCCCATTGGGGCCTACCCCAGATTTCACTTCATTGATCGACTGAAAACACTCACACTCCCCTTGATGAAATTTAAATCTAGAAGACAATACCCCCTCCCCCTCAGAACCTCCTTAGGTTTTCAGCTGTGAGGGTTCTCTGGCACCCAATGAAAAATCTGGATGGGAAGAGAGGGACAAAGGGAGTGAAGTGTCTTGCCTAAGAACACAATTTGATGACCATGTACTGGGAATGTGAGATTCAGTGGGAACTCATTCTAATGATAAGCGCTCTGGGCTCCCCATCGAAAAGTCTCGAGTTTCAGCTGTAAAGAGTTCAGACAAAATAACTTCCATTCATTAACACATAAGGAAAAACTTCTCCACTCAACTGATGTATTATTGACAGTCAGCTGTGCAAAAACTCTTCTCCAGTAACAGAGCAATACGACTGTTACTTCGTCACAGACAACACTTAATGCCATTTAGAACAAGAGTATAGCCCAAAAGACAGAATATCAATAAGGTATTCACTAAAAAATTACATGGTAAAATGTCTCTGTATCTGTTCTTCGATGCATTCAGTGTGGCTGCTTGAGTTGAAAGCATAGCAGAGTCGGTTTCCTGCATCTTTTCCAATACCTATAACAAGTCAATGATGATAAATATTAAACGCAGCTTTCACTTAACTCACCAAAGCTATTTCGATTTTACGTGATAGACAGAAAATTCATGCAGATTAATTCTAAAATTGTTCGGGTTACGATGCAATTGATTATTTTAAGGATAAATTCAAAAATGACCCTTAATCTTCACTGAACGATCATTCAGATGTAGTCAAATGGTTACCCCTCCACCCCTCTTCTAAGACCACCACTTGTATTCTCAGAACGAAGTTCAGAGTCAATCAGATTCCCACCGCCCCCCTCCCCCCACTTCCCACAGGCGCATTGATACTTAGTGATATCAAGAATAGAAAGGAAGAAAATAGGAAAAGAGGGTGAGAAAGAGCAAACAGAGAAAACCTACACGTTCGTATATAGGGCAAAATATGCGTGAAAGCGCACGCGACAATCTCGAAAGGTACTGTGGGTAGTTTTAAGATCCCCGTTCCTTGACTCTGTATTTCGGGAAATCTGAGGCATCGCGGGTTTGATGAATTTATTTCTTCAGTCGACTTATTTCAACTAATCGATTACCCAGATTACCTTCGAGATTAGCGCGTACACCTGTCTTTTTTGCCGACAATATTTCTCGTAACAGCTGTAAAACATACGCCTATTTTTTTGCTGTTGTCAATGATACAAGTGTTATTGATAACTGCTTCATAAAAAAATCAATTATAAAGTCGTTGTTTTTTACTCGCACCAACCTTCCACTCATGAGTGAATCCATTGTAAGGCGCATTTTCCCGTCTCTGTTCCAAGTTGACCACAAGAGCTTCAAACGTTTCCACTGTGCGACACAGCTTCTGAAGATACTCTTCGTCACTCAGACACTCGTTGTTCTCGTCCTGACCAATGGTGGTGCTGGATTGCTGTGTCTGGTAATAATGGCCACACTGCCGGTGCAAAGATGGCTTGTTTGGGTCAACAGCTGGCTTTGCATCACGCTGCTTGGCAGGCAGCTGACATGTTTCAGGCATTTTGCCTGGTTCATATAAGTATTGCTGCTTTGGAGGAAGAGGAGGAAAAGAATTTTTTTGAAGATCTTTAATCTTCTGAATCTGTTCTTCGACTTCTCGTAGTCTTTCTTTCTCTTTGTCTCTCTCTGTAGAAGTTTCTGTTTCCTGACGGTTTCCATCTGTTTTCTTCTCCTTTAAAGAGGAAGAATCAATCAGAGTTTCATCTTCCGATTTCTTTTCGGAGCTATCAAGAGATGCACCCTTCAAGTTATTCAGTTTTCCATGACCCGCACTTTCCGTTACTTTGTCTTGTTCAGTAACTGTTGAAGAGTCTACGGAACTCATATCTTCTCCATTTCTAGCAGAGTCACGATCATTAATTGACTTTTTTACTGAGTGTTCTTGTGGATCAGAGTCTATATCACGAATTGGCTTGGAGCCCACAACGTCCCCCTCATCGTGTTTGCCTTTCTCAGAAATTTTACTTATTTGAGTCTTAGCCAAATCATTAAATAACTGATCCATGTCAAGTTTGCCATTAACCTGAGTTGAAAGGCCACTGCTCCAAGACGAACTAAAACCGGTAGAGTTTTGAGATGATGGAGAATGGAGGTCTTTTTCTACCACCTCTCTGTCCTGTTTGGAAAGGGATATGCCCTCAAGGTCTTCCTGTATATGCTCCTTATAGTGCTCTTTGTCATGGCTATCATGGCTGTCATGATCCCCTCTGTCCTTCAACTTCTGCTCCATCTCAGTCAACTTAGACTGTTGCTGTAGTATCTGTTGAAACAGCTGCGCAATGTGACCTTGATCTGAGTCATGCTGCTGCTGTTGCTGCTGATGCCGAAGCAACTCTTGTTGTTGTAAGATAAGCTGTTGCTGCTGAAGGAGCATCTGTGTCTGGAGCTGTTGCATCTGTTGCTGTTGACTTAACTGAGCTTGAGCTACAGAAACTGAATAACTGTTAGCATATGCAGACGATGGCATACTTGTTGGGCTCGGTCTTACCCCTTGCACTAAAGGGGATGAAGGAGCTGATCCCTGACTGAAACTGTATGGTTGGCTACCTTCTGATGCAGGTAAAACAGGCTTACCGGGACTTCCACCATAAGGTGGGTAGGAAGAAGATGACGGGGAACGTCTGATGTTCTGTCCAGGATATTGACTTTGTTTCCCATAATCAGATGAAGTCTGTCTACCCATACCTGGCGGATAAACTGCCTGTTCTTTACGAAGCTGCTCCTGTGGTGGTAGCTGGGAAACAGGAGATGGTGACCATCCTTGTGACGGATAGTTAGACTGTGGTTGCTGAACGCCTTGGCCTCGCATTCCTCCAAATCCTTGTTGCTGCCCTTTCGAGTCTTGATGCGACAATGGCTGCCTACTCACTGGCGCCCCAGTTGATGGCAAAGGTTGTGAAGTTTGAGGATAAGCCCAGTTTGAGGAAGAAGCAGAGGGGTTATGTGGCGGCAAATTACCTCCAGGACGCTGCATAACAGAGTGTTGGGATGGAAAGGCATCCTTAGGTGGTTGAGGTGAGGGTTGACCAACCTGTGGACCCTTTTTATCTATCTGGTAAGGATTGTCTTGTTGAGAAGACACACCACTCGGCTGCAAGGCCTGTTGACCAGGACTGTATCCTGTATACGTTTGACGAGCAGATAAACCTGGCCTGGACGGCTGTGGAGGGATATCAGAGATTGGCTGCTGCCTTGATACCACCGAAATCTGGCCAATTTGCGATGGAACTACAGGAATAACTTCTGGTTTCACAACATTCTGTGGTTGAGGTGTCTTCTGAGGAAACTGTTGGCCCTGCACTGGTTGCTGAGACTGAGGCTGCAAGGGTTGCTGGTAACCTTGAGGAGGCTGAATTGGTGAATGAAATTGTTGCTGCTTCGACATTTGTGGAGAGTCTGGCTGACGAGTTGGCTGGAACTTCTGTGGATGTTGAGCAAATTCTCTTGATAGTGGAGTTTGCTGGTGTGGAAACTGTTGTTGAAACTGCAGTGGTTCTTGAAAAAGTAGATTAGAGTGTTGAAATTGATGAGGTGGCTGGGATTGTTGTTGCTGCTGTGATTGCTGCTGAAACTGTAAAGGGTTTTGAGGAGTCAACAACGGTTGAGTTTGCTGCTGAGGCTGCAAAGGTTGTTGAACTTGTGCCATTTTCTGCGGTTGAAGGGGTTCCTTGAGTTGAGGTTGACTTGATGTGGGTAGCTGTTGTTGGGTATGCGGTTGTTGCTGCTGTCTTTGATAGAGCGGCTGTAGTGGTTGGAACTTTTGTTGGGGTGTCAGTGGTTGTTGAGGCTGCAAAGGGTGCTGAAGCACCTGTGGGTGCTGAGAGCTTAGGGGCTGTCTTGTTTGTTGCTGATGCTGGGGTCGTTGAGGCTGCAGAGAAGGCTGAGCCTGCTGAGGATGCAAAGGTGGTGGAGGACGAAGAGGTTGTTGCGATAATCTGGGAAACTGAAACGGCTGACTTATCCAGCTTCGTGGAGGCTGTGGACTTGCACCAGGTAGCACAGGTTGTGAAATTGAACTGGATTGAATTGGTGGCTGGTACCTCTGAGGTGGCCCAGCCTGACTTGTATGCTGGTGCTGTGCTGTTGGATGGGGTCCTTTGGGAGCCTGAAACTGCTGTTGGGGAGGAAATGTTTGTGGTGGATGCCTATCACTTTGCTGCTGAGCTATTCCAGGAAGCTGCCCCTGTGACAAGTTTTGATTACCTTGAATTGGTGGCTGATGTGTCCTGTCCAACTGTTGAAACCCTTGGATGAGTTTCGCTTGATCATACGATGGTAATCCTTGAGGACCCCCAGGACCGTGTACCTGCCCAACTGCAAAGTGTGGAGGAGGCTGCTGAACTGTTGGTTTCTGGCTGCCAGGGTTTTGACCAGGGGATTGTGGACCAGAAGCGTGTTGAGCAGCAGAGGGATATTGATTAGGGGGTTGCTTATTTGGGGATTGCTGACCAGGAAGTTGTTGACCATGAGGTACTTGGTAGGGTTCCCCTGGATGGCCAGGCAAAAATCCAGGTTGACTCCCAGGCTGAATAGAGGGTCCTACAGGTACAGGATATGACATTCTTGGTGTGGAATGGATCAAGTGCTCAGCTGGTGTTGGTGCCCTGGGGCCCATCTGAGAAAAGGGAACTGTAGAGTGCGGCTGTACAGCTGTATTAGCCGGAGGTCTAGAAATTTGTGAAGGAAGTGTTTGAGGAACCCTATGTTCTGGTAAAACTTGCTGAGGTCCAGAGCCTGGTATAGTCTGTGGAAGGACACTGGGAGTCGGTACCCTAAGGTCACCTGTTGGGAAAGGAGCCCTGCCTGGAAATCTTGGTGAGCCAGAGGGGTTAAACCTCCCCTCAGCTGGGTGTGGAGGAGGACCTCGAGGAAATGAGTTTGGTGGAAACGTCCCACCAGGAATCCTTGGATGTAAAAGGATTCCCTCTGGTGTAAGGTGGGGAACTCCAGGTCTCATTGCAGAATTTGGTATCATTGGTCCTCCTGGGTAATGACTAACTGAAGGAACAGGAACTGATGACGTTGGAGGATGAACAAGGTGGTCCGGTTTGACTGCTGAAGGACGAACAGGTGGTGGCTTGGCTCTTTCTGCAAACATGATACCAGTATAAAAAGCATCAGAAACTAAACAACTAGCAAACATACTTCCATACCCACATCATCAAAAAGTGGAGATATAGAAACTTAGCGACTTAATTGCCCACAGCTGGAGCCAATAAAGCATTAATAAAACACACCCCTCAACATACGTTTAGGAAATCATGGTCCTAAAACAAAACTATTAAAACAAATCTTCTTAAAAGAGAAATACGACTGCAAGGCTAAAAAATTAATATGGTAATCACCTTTAGCCTTTTTCTCTTTCTCTTCAATCTTTGCCATGTCCTTCTTTCGATTTTCATAAAATTCCTTGAGCTTCTCTTCTAGTTTTAAGACATTCTTCTCCAGTCCCTGGTAGAATCGCAAACCACGGCTTATAGAAGAAAGAAAAAACACAAAATTTCGCATTAACATTCAAGTTAGGTACCCAAGCTTAGATGCAACCAAAAGAGAGAATCTTAATTTCTGCCATATCTATGAATGAAACATCGGAAAAAAGAGAGTGCCAATAAACCAAATATCGGCTGCGTTCCATATCTCAAGAATTTAGGACTGGCTGGCAGCTTTATCAAACACATCCTTGATTTTATTTACCCAGTTTCAAACGAACTGACCCAAAAATACACTATAAATACAACCAGAGCATATTATACAGGAGGGTAAAACTAACTTATAGGCTAGAAGGTCTATAATGCTGGAGCTGATATTGGTTTCAGTAGCAAGAATTACTTCCCATGGATGGAATTCTAGGCCATCGCAGGTTTCAGATCATAATTGCGCCTAAATAATAACAATCTTTTATTAGGAAGCTCCATCACAATAGTGGTTTACATAGAGGTCCTACATAAAGGCCCTTTGTCCTTTATATATAGTTAGGTTCATTACCAGACACAGGGTCGGAAGCTATTGGTTGTAATTTTACAGTTTTCATAGTTTAGTTTCCAATTTTGCTGTTCACTTTACAGCCGATGCTTTTTCAGTTTATTTTGTCACTTTCTCCTTCAAGAACACATCACCGTGACAAGGTCCAGGGTCAAAACAGGACCTTTCAATCTAGAGTCCTCTGCACAAGCTACTTAGCCAACATATTTCTCACACAATCTAAATAACCACTGTACGGGGCTGCAAAAATTACAAGGGAAAGCGTTTACCTGAGCTTCTCTTTGAGTTCCAAAAATGTATCATGTGACAAAATAATTGACTGTATTGCATCATCCCGCCTACAAAGAAATAGGTATTCTTCCTTGGGTCACAAATACATTAATTTTTTTCTTAATAAAAAAAAAAACCTTTAAGGTGTATCTCTCCGTAACTGCTCTCAGTACTGAGTTTGGAATTGAATTTCAAAGTGAAATCAACAACAAATGTTTTAATAAAAACGACTACCTCGGGTATGGCAATTTATTTGTTACAGCATTTTGAAGAGATAAGTCTCCATCCACCAAGTTCATATTGAGAGAAACATGTTTCTTCACAATGATTGATTCTAAATGCTTGAAGAAATGATACCCAGTTGTTAACCAAACTTGTGGGGAGTTCTCTAGTTGCCAGAGGTTTCCTTATCATTTATCACCAGGCAATCAACGAAAGGCGAGTCACAAGCCACTAAAACCAAAAGTTATTATTACACTGAAGGTGGTGCAAATCTTAAGAGTACAGAGCCTTTCCCAAAATGAAACGTCGAGAACAACTACAAAGAGAAGTAGAGAGGAAAAGCCAGTGTTACCTTTGTGCTGTTTCTTTCACAGCTTGTCTTGTTGGTGCGTACTTCGCATTAGCTTCAGTGAGTGCCCTGAAGGATAACCAAAAGGCATCAGAGAGAGCAGGTACCTCACAATACTTAGAACCTTAAATTCTATACAGTGACGATGTAAATGAACATGCTAAATTTGAGCCTAGAGATTTGAATGAGGGATGATGATATTCCATGAATGACACAGGTATATCCAGCCTAGGCCATTTAACTAGCCCACCACGAGTCTCCTATAGCTCAGTGGTAGAGCATCCAAAGTGCTAACGGGAAGGTTGTATGTTCAACTCCTGTTGGGAGCACTCAGAGTTCCTTTCTTCAAGTATTCATGTGACATTGGTTGAATGAAATCGCCTCTCAACTCATTCTATTTCCAACACAATGCTTTCAGAATTGTTGATCCTTGCTGTATGCAGCACTCTTGTCACTGGTGTATGGCCTACCTTACAGGAGCTCTCTGCAGCTCAGTTGCTGGAGCATTCGATTCAAATCTGATAATAGTTGGGATACTAATCCCCATGTGTCTCTTAAAAGTTTGATCGTGATGAGCCGATTGTAACTTCACTAATCCAAGAAAAAAATGCTAAAACATTGGCGGCTCACTTTAAAATTTTTGGCTGAGCATCCAGATTGGCTTGTATCAGTCCACACGTGCTATCGTGCTTCTTCAACTGCTCTTCAAAGAAAGCCTAAAAGATGTAATCAGAAACATTTTCACAAACATGTCCACAAAGTACTGATTTGATTGAGCTTACATTAAAAGTGTTATGTCACTTGCCTAAATTCTACATACACGTGCTTTAATTTGTTTTTCAGAAAAGTTTTACTCAAACAGAAGCAAGTTACGTTCCCCGAGGCCTACCTAAACAAAATTATGCAAAATATTATCAAATAGAATTGCACTTAAGGAGAGCTACAAAGAGTCAAATTGAAAAAGAAAATCCAAGTTTGAAGTAGTTTGAATTATTTTGTTCCTCACTCTTACTAAGACAAAGAGCTCTCACAATGCCCCTCCAGTCCAAAAGAGGCAGGGCAGAAACTAGACCAAAATGCCTTGGGCTACCTAGTTTGAAAGACAACAACCCCATTTTGTATTAACCATGATATCTACTGAAAACCATAACTGAACTAAGTCCTTACTACCGAGAGCTTGTGTTAAAATCAACTATGTAATGATTAATGCGTTACCATCTTGTTTCCATCTTCCCTTGTGACGAGAAGTTGTGTAATGTCATCATCAGCTAACTAAAAGAAACACATTTAACATTAATACAGTATAACTATTAAACAGTTTCACTTTAATCAGAGTACATGAAACATATAATTCAAGAAATTACTTGTTAAATGGATTTTTGGGTCGCTATAATTATATTATATGGTCCAGCTCGCTAAAAAGGCCTAAGCTTGTTTCAGGCTTAGATGATTATCCAAAGAGCAAGCAACAAATATCAGTTGTACTGGACAGGGGAACATTGGACCCCCACAGTTGTTTGCACACCTGCTCTTTCACAGAGACCAAGAACAAGCCACAGGTAAACAGGTTCTCTGTGGCTCAGCGGTATAGCATCAGTCTCAAAATCAAAAGGTCTGAAGATAGTGAGATAACTATTTATTTGTAGAACATTCATGAAAACTTTGCAACATTTATAAACAGTAGTTGTACCTCTTTTCGTAACTCTGCCTCAAGCTGCTTTCTTTGAGACTTCATTTGGTCCACCTTAGACTGGAATTATTTGAAGTAAAGAAAGTGAAATGCAACTGTCAGTGCCAAGTGCTGTATCACTCAAATCAGTGCATAAAGTACATTAAATGAAACATGTTTCTTAGCGAAACAAATAGGACCAATCAAACATGACTGGAACTCAACTAGTATGCTTTAGTAAAATGCTAAGATAAATCAACTTCATAGGTGAGGTTTTACATGTCTAGTATAAATGTTTCAGTTTAGAATTACATCCAGGTTACCCTGCTTTTGAATTATACCAGACCCTGCTAAGTTGAACTGCCAGAGAAACAGAAAAGAGCTCGAGATACCACAGAGCTCATGAAACTAAATTACCATCAGGATGATATTCACTCAATTAAATGCTGCCTTTCACTAAATGCCATACCAAATGAAGGGAATGGGGAGGTTATTTGAGACTCAATAGAAAATAAGCTACACCATCCTTTGAAATCATATCATAATCATGATTCACTGTGATTTTTGTCAGTGATTAAGACAGATGATTTTAAGATTACCACAACCCTCCTACAAAAACACTTGAAACAGAAAAAAACTCTTAGTTTGTGTCAGATAGAAAAACTCAATCTAGCAGCGAAGTTTGAATTACAGGCTGGGTTTATCAGTGTTATTTTGGTCCTCTGTCCTCTAAAAAGATAGACCCTATAAAACACCTAATGTCTCAAAATAGATGTACAAAAACAGTGCTTTCAACAAGACCTGGCACCCGCCGGAGCTCCGGTGGCTATTCTGTTGCGAGTCGCCGGGTATATTTCACTGCGCTCAAGTCACAGTCGCCACGCTAAGTCGCAATCAAGTCGCTCTCCGGCAGGTGTTGTACTGAGGTAGCCACCTATTTCAAATCTTATTGAAAGCACTGCAAAAAAAGACAATGCACCCTATATTTCAAGTTTAAAAAGAGCATGACTTACAATAAGATCTCTGAGACGCTGAACGGCTCCATCATCAATTGGAGCTGATGAAAACAAGACAAAAAAAAATCTTAGCAAGGCTACATACACCAAGCTTTCCCATTTGTGTCTTGACATCCGGCATAATTTTGTATTATATCACAGGGAAAATCAAAAAGCAGCTCAGTTTTTATTACATAATAAATGTAGGACAGGACTCCTGGTGCACTTACTATCTATGATGTTGAGAGACGGTAAAGCTGCTATCAGTCCTTCTGAGGGCCCAGACAGCAAATCTAAGTTGTGTTTGTGCTCATTAAAGACCTTCATCAGCTCAGAGTTTGTCTGCATCTATAACATAGCACAAAGTTTAATAGAAAGGCAAAAATATGCTGAATGATTATAGGTTATTTATAGATGCAGATTGGATAGTATGGATACACATAGTTACATAACATTATTTGAAACAAACTTACTGCCTTCTTGTGTGATTTTTGGCATTGTTCAAGATCTTTCTCAAAATCCTCTCTCTCTGGTGGAGGAGTCATGGGACCAACAAGCTCCTGTGAATGAAGGAATTCTTTTAAACTCATATTTTCATGGAAAATGGGTTGCACCAGTGACTAACAGCTGAATAAATAAAAGGCAGTCCATGACTGCATGTTCCAACAGTTTTTGCAGAGTATTGCTGCAGTAACAAAGCAATGTGGTTAATGACCAGCTCTTGTTGATGCCAAAATTGTGACAAAAGGAGGACTTAGTTTGAACAGAGTTTGTACACTGGTCAATTGACAGGCCAAGGACAGTGCAAGAAATTAACAGAATAAGTACACAAGGTTCAAGCCCTGGCCACATCTATTTGTTTTTTTCTTTCTTTTTCTTTCCTTTGCTTTTCTTTTCTCTTTCTTTTTATTTTTTTTCACTCAGTTTATATTCTTCTTAAAAGGATATGTTAGATTTGTTCAGAGTAAAATGCACATGTGAGAACCATTGATGACATAGCTCTTACGTTAAAATCAATACCAAGTCAGAATGCAGAGGTGAAACCCTCAAAAACCAAGAATGAAGGCGAAGAAACCTGATTCCCTCAATGATACTTAAGAGTTGGAGCTGAACCAGATTACCAAGGCTAGTGATTAGTGAAGGTGTCAAATGATAGTCTTTCATTTTGAAAACCATGAGGGGTTTCAAGGTTTACAGAATTACACGACACCATAAAATAGTGCCCACCCCCTTCCCAAGAGGGAAGCCACAGTAGGCACAAAAAGTGACACGTCTATTGACAGTGGTGTTAGGACGATTTTCATCATCTGAGAAGGCAGAGTTGCTCTGTCTATTTCATTGATAATCATGTTAATATTGTGAAGGAGTCATTGGTAAGGTGCTGTCTGTTGTACACATATGTTGAGAGGTGTCAGCCTTAAGTGAGTGAAACAACTTTCCAAGTCACTGAGAATACTACTATCATATAGTGTCAAGTAAAAATTATACAAACCATTAATTCCTTCTCTTTTTGCATGTCTTCTTCTAACATTTTCACAAGAGAAGTTAACAGATCTTCCACTTTAGAACCAATCTTTGTCAGTTCTATAATTTAAAAGTCACCATTCACACAATCCATGTAGTTATTCATTTACATGACAAGCTGAATGTTACAAGCATTTTCATTGTAAGTTTCTTACTTGTGATCTATTGGAGGACAGAGACAAAGTTGATGTCCCCATTAGAAACAGTTTGCTTGTTCCTTGCACCTCAAGTGCCTCTTTTTTGTTCTTCTCTCATTTCGACATCATCTGTGATCTTAACTGAACAGTTCCACAGCAACATGGAATCTATTTACTTACTAAATTATTTGTCATAGTTCAACTGACATGGTTTGGTTCTGGTCCAATATATCAACAACTCCATCTTCTTTAGGAGTGAAGTTGATGCAAATTAATTTTTTTAAAAAAATTGTTCTCAGAAAATGGTGACCTGAAATGTGTAATATAAAGGGTAACCACGCTCATTTAGGAGATATGACGTGTACAAAGTTTCGAGTGCTCAATTAATACTTTTTTACTTGAGTTGAAATAGAAGTAGAAGTAGACATCATATTTATACAGGATAGCCCCTTCAGTGTAGTAAACACTGGTATCAACGGGGGTCCTGTTATCCACCCATCCCACCCCAGGGGAGGACATCCATCACACAGTCATCTCGTGTGTGGGAAATTAACGTCTCCTGCCCCTAACCCTGCAGGAGACAGGACCTCCATTTATTCGTCCCTATCCGAGAAGACTAGAATATCTAACCATTTCTTGATGTTATAGAAAGGTAGCATATTCTTCTCAATTATTTTAAGACCCTGAGTGTTTGTCTAGCCCGGGCTCAAACCCTTGACCTCCCGCACAACAGTCCAGCGCTCTATCCATTGAGCTAACCGGGAGGTGGTTAGCTCAATGGATAGAGCTCAAATAAGAACAATTTGTTTTTGCTCCAGTACTTAATACTTTAAAACATACTTCTGTAACATGGCAGATCGATTGAAATTTTATTTAAGAAGAATATAAATGTTGAATTTAGTTATGGGTCTGCTGTAACATCAGTATTAAAGCAATTTTTGATGCACTGTTACCTTCTACGTTATTTTCAACTTCTTTTAAATTTCCATCTGTCTTCAAAGAGTCACTTTTCTGTTTCACAGCAGCTGTACAAGAAACAAAGTTTGGTTAAACAAGGGAAATAAATTCAGTCCAACCACAACAAACAAAAATAACCTCACAAGTTAAGCAGACCCCTCTCAACAGCAGTAAATCTCAAAGATATAGGCACAGGTGGAAGGTTGCAACTGCATTAAGACTCAATCAACTGCTACTATCCACCTTCTTTGAAAGTAGTAGTTGTTTTTCCCCACCCCACTCCACCTTACCTTATCCTTACATCATTCTCCAATAAAGCTGACAGGTGCTTAAAAATTGGGGTTCATGGGTGTGTGATAGAGATTTACCATTCATAAGGGAAGTATTATCTCTGGGGTATGGATGAACTCAATAGAATGTCCCAGGAACCCACCTTCCCATCACAATTATCTAATTATACTAAATACTTAATAATTGACACCAAGTTAGGTCAATGCTAACCTGGCAGAGTGTCATATCCTTCAGGTTCCAGTAGATCATCAATGTGAAGGTCAGCCAAGGATTTACTAAATATAAAAAGAGAATGGAGAAAAGAAAAACAAGTTTATTCACTTTTCACTAGACAGCATCACTACCACTTTTCACCTTCCATAAATGCTCTCAGCAATTTTACTAGGACTGTAAGCCTAACTCTCTATGCTTTAACTATTGCTCTTTCATTCATGATTGCATCTTTGTGAGCACTGACCACACCAACCTCTATGTCGTATACGGTACATTTACTAAGGGGATAAATACCAGATGTGCTATGAGTTCTTTCATAAAAATTGCCATTCAGTTTATCTTTACCTCAGCGAATGATTTTTCTGGTCAATAGAACTGGCATATCTTCTAAGTAATTTTGCTTTCTCCTCACTGCAAGAACAACAAAGTTTTCTTGAACTTAATGATTTCTGTACAAAATTTTATCTGAATTGTAACAATTATTATCATTATGACTCTAAAACCACACATAGACTGCTTGGATCTATGGACTATGGGTGTATATCGGTCCTCCTTGTTTCCAGCCACTTACACATCAACCTTAATGCTTTAACATCAGTATGCATATTCTCCATGCTGTTCACAACACATCTCCTACCCTGCTGACAAGGAGAATGTGCCTAACAAACAAGAGCTGCTTTAGTTGGTGATCAGTTGCTTTATTCTTGTTCCTCAAACTGTTTTATCTTTAGGAGTGACTAGCGACCCATCTCACCTTACAATATCACCCTTGAATCAAACATTAAAGGTCATGAGAAGAAAAGAAAGGAAATGATTACAAAATCAAAATCAAGATTGAAGCTCTTTCAAGATTGTTAGACAAAGTTTTCTTGTCAGGACTACAGGAAATGTAAAGGGAGTAGTATGAACAACTCGTATATATCAACAAAGTTGAAATGGTAAATTGGCCTCTGTTACGGTTATAAAAGCTGATGTTTTGAGCGTTAGCCGGTTCGTTGATACCTGTGGGATTTAGACTGCCACTAATTTCATTCCACTAATTTATTCATGTTTTTCTCGTTGCCATGTTCCCACCAATCACGTAGCTCCATTTTCTGCCTTTAAAACCACACACAATTCCTCTATTCGCTTCGAAGGGCTAATGCTCGAAACGTCAGCTTTTATTACCGTAATGATGGCCAATTTACCATTTCAACTTTGTTGATATATTCAAATTATTTTGTTACCCCCACCGACGTAGCCCCAAACAGTTTCTTTTATTAGAAACTATCAGCCTATGAACAACTTGTAGACTGAAATTGGGGTGTAAAGGGCTAATAACCTGTTTTGCTCCTGGACGTAGCTTCACAGAGTGTGTTATAATGGTCCTAAGCCTAAGCCATATCATAAAGAGAAATTGTGTAGCTTGAACTTTCAGGGAATCAAAAATGGTTCAAGGTGACGTGACAATGGTTTAAAAATGGTAAATTTACAATTTAAAGTAGACTTAAAGTACGCTTTTCCGATGAACCCTTTTGGAGGAGGTAACAAATGGCTCATTTACATAACATGACTTTGATGCAGTCTCTGACCTGTACAATGAGGAGTCTGTGTGTGCCTCCATCGGTATGAGTCTTTGGAAAATGTCCGGACCAGATACACTGGAGTCGCATGGCTGGAATGGAATGGGTTTCACAAGAGGTGCAGCTGTGAATCAAATCAAGTCAGATTTCATCATCAATCAAATACTTTTTCCAAAGAAAAAGACAATTTTCAGCTTTTCAGAAGTATGCGACAATTGTACCATCAATACTGACAAGCTACTGGTTTCTTTTCTTTTTCCTGAATTGTAGTAGCTCAAGAAAATGTTGAGGTCAATTCAAACACCGCAATGAAAATGTCCTAGAGAGACCAATATCCTAAACTTTTGACGAGAGAAACTCATATTGCCAAACGTTTTACAACACATTGCAGCAGTTTTATTTTCATGCGGAAAGACAAACTTGTAAACCTATCTTGACTATTTGCTACCCAGTCAAACCTTACACATTGATCCATCTTAACCTCTTGCAGAGCCAAACATATAATTATTAATTAATTTTTTAATCATGTCATCGGTCACATCACAGAATTTCTTCTTACATCATCAATACAATATCAAGGAGGTGATGGGACTAAAGAAAATATCAATTAGGGGATTATTAGTTGATCTAAAACCACATTCTCCAAACTAGCATAACAAGTTAGAACTGTATGGCAGACAGTAAGAAGAACTGGGAGTGAAAGAGTTAACTGGGTTAATGCATTGTGCTTGCCTACTTCTACTAAGCCACAAATTTATAAAAGGAACTGTTCTACATTCGAAGTTCTGCAAAGTAGAGTGAAACAAATAGAATCTTAATCATTCCATAATTTTCACACACATTTCTTACCTTTTATTTCTGGCAAGGCATCCAGTTCAGGAACAACTTCATGGTAAATAAAATCATTGTCTTTAACTGCACCCTGGTACCTGGAAACAACAGCAGCGTTTAAAAAAGGGCAACTGGTGTTAAACTTTCAGGAGTGACCAATAAGTATTAAACACTTTGTAATCCTGATATAACACAAGTGTGAAAAAGGTAAAGTCTGTACTCAAACCAAGTGGCTTATCTAGTTATGGGTTATCCCAGTTATCATGGCATAAAGTGACTTAGAGCATAAATAATCTCTCCTGAATAGGGATGCTAGTCCATTGCAAGTTACCCCCCAGCATTTCATCATGCTTCACTGACAATTGGCAGGTACTGCTATATATTCCTAGGTGGAGAGAGGCACAGCAAAGTGAGCCAGTCAGGTTCCAAACCTGGACCACTCAACAAGGAGTTTGGTGCACAATTTACATATGAAAAAAAAAAAAAAACTACTGGGGATGAAACTGCCGTGGGAAGCAAACTGTAATTGGAGATAAAAGGAATTTTCACATAATTTATAACAAGCAATGGCTGCTCCTGAAGGGACATTGCTTTACGCTAAATGTTCAACCTCATGCAGTTACAAGTTAACACAATTCAGCTTAGTGAGGTTCAACTCAAAGTCTACTAGTAGTAAACAGAAATTTTCACTTACTTGTTGCTTACAACATCTACAACAAACTGCAAAACTTCCTGAGTTCGTTCAGGTTGCCCCTTTAAAAAAAAAGCATGGCATCCAAAAAATCACTAAGTTAAACTTTATTTTCCTTTTTACACATGGCATCCTAAACAGGATTCTCATAACACCAAGGGACTTGGGAAACACAACACTAAGTGCCTGGCTACTTTAATTTACAAAAAAGAAATAAAGAAATATCAACTATTGTCAAATTAATTAAGTGTCTGATTCCTACTGCAAAGGAGTAATTAAGTTCATTTGTGAGGCAAAGGCACATCCTACTGAAGTTACCCCAGCCAGTTTGGGTAGCATGAAACAGAAGAGTGTATTCATTTGTCACTTTTTTTTTGAAAGGGAATCCAGCTCAGGTTAATCCCTAAACACTTTCACATCTCTGGATAGTTATGCAATAAAAATGGCAAACATCACAAAGAATTTCTCGTTATAGGGTTGGACAGTTTAGGTTGTTGACCCCTGTTAAATTTTTTGCATTATAATGCAGCAGGGTCAAGCTCAAGAAAGACAGTCAAATTACCTTGGATGCCTTTTGTGCTTCTGTTATCTTCTGTGATGCTGCTTTCAAATAAGCCACCTAAACCAAAGGTTGAAATTTAAATCAATGCTCAATCATAACATGTCACATTCAGCATTTCCCAGATTGAAACTACAATAACTGTAACTTAAGTGACAGATGAAAACATAACAACCAGAAAAAGTACACTTCAATTTGCATCACCAAGAGACATATTAAATGTCTTCAACTGAAACATTCTTGTGATGGCCACCTGCCTCAGAGAAGCTACTGCAGCACAGTTCAACTGAAGCAAAGTTTTAACTGTCATAATTGTTTCACTCATGTTTACTATTAAAAATTAGCCTGTGTTCAACTTATTTTGATAGTCCCATTAAAAAAAAAGTTTGGATAATAGGCAGAATTATGCACACAAGTTGATTAGTTCTGACTTCTGATCTATGGGAGGACAGAGGCACGGATGGTGTCATCACTGACAATTTTTGCCTCTTTCTTCATCAACAAAATAGATTGAATGTTCAGTACTACATGTAGATAACATAAGATGTCAAAATGTGGTAAGAACATAGTGACAAGATAGGTTGCTCCATGCCCCACTTTTTCGTTCTTATCACATTTTTTATGTCATCTGGGACCTAATACTGAACAGACACATGTCAATAAGAATTATATATTTGTAAAAATCTGCCACTGTATCTAATTTACTGCCAAGTTCACTAACCATAAAACTATGCAAGAAAAGAATAATTACCTTCTCGCCAAATTTTTGGTTTTCCTCTGCATTATTTGACATGTATACCTACAATCAAATACAGCTAATTTAAGGGAACAGTAACCAAAAGTGCTTTGTATGTCCAACAAATTTTAAACATGTTACTACCACAGAAAGAAAGGTATGGTCAGAATACAGCTGGTTAAAATTATAGTTTAAGTACTTACAGGGCTCGACACTAACTTTTCAACTTACTAGCCTAGTGGCTAGTGACAACTTAGGTGTTACAACAATTTCAGTTTGTTTACTAGTAGCCAAACTGGCTAGTGGAAATCGAAAACCACGAGCCAAACTGGCTAGTGGAAATCGAAAACCATGAGCCAAACTGGCTCGTGGAATGAAAAACCACGAGCCAAACTGGCTAGTGGAAATTGAAAACCACGAGCCAAAACAGAATTTCTACTAGTCTGTGCGTAGTTGGCTACTGTTAGTGTCATACCCTGACTAAGTAAATAAATATACTCCAACAGTAAGTTATTCAGTAACCAATACATACATCTTATTAGACATTTTGTTGTGTAGTATCGCTGAGTATTTTTACGAGTTGTGCCGTATTTTGACGAGCCCGTAGGGCGAGTCAAAATACAAATAATGAGTAAAAATACTCAGCGATACTACACAACAAAACGTCTAATAAGTTATTTATTATCCAACACGCCAAACTGTTATTTCAGTGCGGGCGAATTTCGCGGATATTTATTTACGGG